GAAGCAAGCTGTTCTTGCGTTTGGCACGGATCCTCATCGAGCAATGCCTCCAATTCAGCGTCTTCGAAGGTTTTTGGCCTTCCTTCACGCGGACGGTCGTCAACATCGAAATCACCGTCTTTGAAGCGACGAAACCAATCACGGCACGTTGTTTCACTTAGAGCAGCATCTCCGTAAACTTTTTGGAGCTCTCGATGCGCTTCAGCCGCCATTTTCTTCGAATGAAATAAGAAAATCAACACTTCGCGCAATTGACGATTATTTGGCACAAAATCAGACATTTTCACACAACCAAAAGTATATGACGCCAAAACAAAATCACTAACGTGTCAAAGCGGTTTGTTTACCATATGTCTAAGCTTGGTTCATGACGTTTTGGATATGTCAAAATCGACCAGCACTTACTGCTGGAGCCATCTATTGACAAACAGCAGGAACTTAGTTGCGCACCTAATATATATATATATATATATATATATATATATATATATATAATATTTAAAGAAAAAGTAACTCAAAATAAATATTTATAAATATTTATCTAATAACTTATTATTAATAATTATTAATAATTAAACTTATTATTAATTATTATATATAACTTATTACTAATATTGTATGCTATCTGGCTTAATACTTTAAATTTTAACAGTACTTTGCGTGAGTATTTCATCACTTAGCAAAGTATTATATATTAGTATTTAAGTATTATATATTAGTATTTAGTAAATATTGACAATGTTCTGCGTAAGTATTTTATCACTGGACGAAGTATTACATATCAATATTTAAGTATTGAAATCAATCATAAAATAGGATTTGTAATATTAAATATTGAAATACTTGGGTACTACCCTTATAGGAATATCATACTGAGAACCATTGATAATTACTTATTATCCAGTATTTTTAATACTGAAAATAACCCAGATAGCCAAACCTGTGCGAGCAGATTTTACGCAGAGTCTGTCAACAGTGTCTGTTGACAGAATGGCAACAGACTGCACACAGAAATTGTTTTAGCAGTTTCTGACGACAGATTGGTGACAGACTGCGCGCAGAGCCTGTCGACAGACTTTGACGACAGACTGCCGGCAGATTGCGCGCAGATTCTGTTTCCTAGATAGGCTATTTAATTCTATTAAGGGCCATATGTACGTTATTAAATGGGGCAGTTTCACATACACACTATGTAAAACTGCTACAGAGAAGTCAAGATAATTATATTGTGCAATAATTGTACACATATACACAATAAAAAACAATGTTTATATTTTAAAATTGTATTACTCATTTTTTATAAAAAAGCAACAATAATAGAGAAATAACGAGTACAAGTATAGAATAGTACAACGGTTAAATGGCCATTTAAAGGCGTACACATGTCATTCCTGGTAAAAATTGTTCTCATAATTTTTCATACAATTTCTCATTTTATTATTTTTTTTAATGTTGTTATGTCATTAAATCCGATTTAACCGTCATGCAATAAGTACTGAAGGCAGCAGCACCGAATAAAATA